GATGGGTTCAAGAGATATGGCAAATACACCCAAATCACCCCAGAGGTGTTTTTTTTCTTTCTAAATCTCTCTAAAAAGGTCAAATTTCACTTGTTTTGCATCAATCTTGATACAGGGTACTTATTATATGTTATAGTTCGGATTCCTAAAGCTTTTTGTCTACTATCCCATCATTCAAGGGTGGTTATATCTCTCACAGGCTCCGCCCTCCACTGGACTCTATGGGTACTACCTTATCATGCAAGCATTCACCTACTGAGATTTCTATAGACGTAGCCGGCCCCGGGGCGGGCCTACCTGAATGCGTGCGCATCTCACTTCCATATAAAAGGAGGCCTCGCCTCCTGACCACCATCCTTTACTCTTCAGCGAGCGGAGGTGATAGCCTAGCACTGAGTCCAAGACGTATTATTTGAGAGAAAGGAAGAAAGAAAACGAGTATTTTTTGAAATCATGCCCTGGATTAAATAGCGGGCGTCGATCCCCACCACCTCTGCTTCGAGTGTGGGGGACCAGGATATGGCCGAGGCGGTGCAATTCACGTTCGCCATTCCTTCCGGGTCCGGCGTCCATGGAAGTCCACCGCCCAGGGCTGTACTCTCCCTGGATGATGATCATGGCGGCAGGTGTGTGGGCTACTCGCTCATTGCTAGAGATGCCCCCGCCTCACAAGGTCAGAGCGATTATTGGGCCGCAAGGCCGAATAAGTAGCTTGGTCCACAGGCCTTGACCCAGGCCCGGTTCCCTTTGGGGGACCGGTGCTCGGTGGCTTCACATGATATAGGGGCGACCCTACTTCATCACAGGCCGCCGCCGCCGCTGCCTGCCGTGTGATGTCCCTGGAATATCACGCCGCATGGCACTTTCCAAAGAGGACCGTGTTGATCTCCTGGGAGCCCCCGTGTTTACGGAAGGGCTCTTTGGATCGATCTCCTTGCTCACGGGATAAGGAGTAATCGCAGCGTGGCTGCTTCTTGCCCATCCCCAGAGGAAGAAACACTGTCATACACTCCCCGCCTCTGCTGTAAACCCCAGTATAGGGAGTCAGCAGGTGGGTATGTGCACGTGAGTGGGATAAACCGAGTGCTGTCAAAGCACTGTGCGGGTTCAAGAGACGCTATTGCCGGCGTGCTGTTGTCAGAAAACACACCTTGCCTGGTATAGCTCCGATTAATGCATTTCACCGTTGAATGGGAAATACAGCGTTAATACGTGGGCGCGCGGCCCTCGTAAGAGTGGCCGCGGTGCGTTCAGGGACCTCCGCAGGAGAACGGTGGTTTACGTTTGTAAACTCTAGTTCTGGAGTGGTGTGTGTGTGTGTGGGAAAATGCATTCAGTAAAAACGGTTGCATTATCCCAGAGTAAGAGTCATCTCTCTCCACAATTCCACTTTTCCCCATAATGTCCGTTTCAAAGAGAGGGCATTGTGACGGCGCGCGCGGCCCCCCTCCCCTGAGGGCGGGCCGCGGTGCGTTCAAAGACCTCAGAGAGAAGAGTCACCGCGGCGCGCGTGCTCCTCCACAGGCCTGCAGACGAGAGAGCGCAGCGCGACGGTGAGACGAAGGGAGAGGTGCCGGCACGGAGATTCCGTGCCCGCGGCGCCCTCCACCTCTTCGGCCCACCCCGTGGAACCGGCGTGTCGGCACTCACGGGGACGGGCTGCCCAGCCCCGGCAGGCTCCGCAGCAGCAGAGAGCGGCCGGGTGGAGTGCTCCGTCTTTACGGAGCTGTCTGGCGGGGGGAGAAAATCTATCCGCCCGGGACGAGAGGGCGAATCCCGCCTCCTCCCTGTACAATGCACAGATCACTACGTTTTCTAAATAAAAATGAGGTTGATCTGTATCCAAATCTAGGTGTCTTTTGTTTTCACAAATGCTACACTTACACACAATGTTAACCGTACAAATTCCCCATTCGCTGCCCCAGCTGTAGCTCCTGTAAAGGAGGTGACTAGTGGGCATGCGCAGATGAGAGGGATGAACCGCAGGGAGTGCTATCTAAAGGAAAGCGCTATGCGGTTACAGGGACATTATGGCCGGCGTATTGCTGTCAGAGAACACACTACGCCTCGAGCAAAGACTCCAGTTAATGCAGTTTACCGTAGTGGTAAAGGCTGCATTATGGCGGAGCACGCGCACACACAAGAGCGTGAGGCGGTGCGTTCAGGTACCTCAGTAAATAATCGGCCCTTTCTGTGTCGACCCTCCATGGGCAAATCTTCCATTCATGGGGAGTTTTGCGGCGGTACGGGTCACCAGAGAGTATCACAGCTTCATAGCTGCGGCCCCACAGCTGAGGGCTTGTCCATAAACACAATGTTATGGGGAATGGAAACTCAGCTGTGTACTAATAAGGTGGATGGACAGGTCACTGAAACGGGGCTATTCACTCCAGTTTTGCAGCGTCCCACCTCCTTTTATGGGCATGCGAGAGGTAAATCTGTCCTCCCAGGAGGAGATGGGTTTCCTCTCATAAGAGATTCGGGCTCTGGTGCAGAAGCAGGCTGTGGGTGTTTCTCAATCACGAGTAAAGCTGCTTCAGAGCCACTATTTCAAGCATAATATGTCATCGAGTGCCGCCGAAGTACTGTTCCAATCTCCAGCATACTTGGAAATCTACCGAGCCCGGCGTACTCCGTTTGGAGAAATATCGAGGCTGCACATGAGTAGACTCCGCGGTCTTAAAATCCCCACAATGCTTTGCGCACGGACCAATTTCCCCAAATCTGTGGCGGAAGATGTAAGCGGGGCCTCTCATATGACGCACACCTGCACACTTGCTAGCGTGTTCCACACTTCGTTTTCCGAATGCCAGGAAGTATTCTTGACTCGCTTCTGAAGCAAGATGCTCGGCAGACATGTGCTACCAAGCAAGTGTACTCGCGATTGAGAAACACCCTGTGTCTGTTGTGCACCCTCAGCACAGAGAAAAGGGTCTTTATTCCATGTACTTCCTGATTTTCAGGAAGACAGGGGAATTCAGACCTATTCTAGATCTCCGCGGCCTGAATCGCCACATTTCCTGCAGGAAATTCCGCATGGTAACTATGAAACAGTTACTGGGCTTGTGCAGCCAGGCGATTGGTTCACCACCATCGACCTGAAAGACGCATACTTTCATGTAGAAATTGCTCCAGAGCACAGAAAGTATCTGCGTTTTGCCTTCCAGGGGATAGCTTACGAGTACAACAGGCTGCCGTTCGGAAAAAACATTGAAAAACTACTACTCCCAACTATTCATTCAAATATCCTTTGATCAAGCCAGATGGAACCAATAAGAAAGTTTAACTTCAAAAATGCTTAAAGGTAATAACAACTTGATGACCTGTAACTTTTTCAAGTTAAACAAACATAAAACGAAAGTCCTATAACTCCAAAATTAAATACATTTCAAGGACTGCCTTCTTTCATATACGTTACAGAAAAAAATATTGCACATCCTGTTTCAAATCAATGCTGTCTTTTGTACTATCGAGGCAAATATTTGGCATTCAAGGTGTAATAAAAAAATATCTACATTTTGCTTTCTTTATTATGCATATCAGTCCCAACGTGGCTGGTTATACCTGTTAGGCACTGGGCAAACAAAGATTCTGATTAATTTGATCTGACACCAGGGGTATGTATATACAAAATAAGGTAAAATATGTTAAGTCTGCACACATAACATTGACACGGTACACCTTAGTTTATGCTGGACTTTAGGTTTTCGTACAGTATTACTTTGCAATACATTCAATAAGCAAAAATATATAGAGTATTTGTGACTTTAACCTGTTAAGCCCATAGCCTGTTTTTCAGGTCTCAGGCTAGAAAATGACATTCCCAGAACAAATGACTATATCTTCCCTTCTAAAAGGGTTAAATTAATAATCTTTATTCTCAAAGTAATGATAAACCTGTGAGTTGGATGTAGAAAAGTCAGAATCAATATAGATGTTTTTTATTTTAAAGAAAATTCAGATTTTACATAGTAAAAAACTGTAAATTAGTGTCCGTCCAAAAATTCTTTTTTACTTATAGTGAAAACCACCCTTGGATGATGGGTTAGTAGACTAAAAGCTTTAGGAATCCAAAGTACAACATATAATAAGTACCCTGTATCAAGATTGATGCAAAACAAGTGACATTTGACCTTTTTAGAGAGATTTAGCAAAAAGAAACCACTTCTGGGGTCATTTGGGTGGATTTTCCATATCTCTGGCCCCCCTTGCTCGATTTTGATAGTTGACACCTCTTTCTGACCGTTAGAGCCAATAGAATCGAAGGGGGAGTCCCCCCCACACACACGCTGTGAAGAGAAAAGGTGGGGGCTTCGTGCATGTAATTTTCAATCAGAGTGAACCTATCTCTAGCTTTGACATCTGTAAACGGAAAAGCAGTTTTAATGCTTATAGATTATCTGAAATCATTTCAATGGGACACAGACACATTAGATTAACCTATGGATTAACTTCAGCAGCGTTTTTATCGTTTTAATGCCATTGAAGACCACTTTGGAGAGACTACAGAGCCAAGGTAAAAATGTTAGCATTTTTAGCTACCTAGCGTCACCTGTTTTGATGTCCGTTTTTGCTTATAACGTCGCAAATACGTATAATTCAGTGGTAATGTCGCTGTCAATAGATTCTGTGTCACCTCACGATGTGAATCGATGTGTTGGATGTGGTGAAAATATAAATAATAAGGTTTTGTGAGTGATATTCGGGGCAGTAAGGTGTTAGCATTTTTCGCTCGTTGCTAATTCAGAGGCTCAGTGTTAGCATTGTGGGTTTTCTTTTAAAAAAAAAAAAAAAAAAGATCAGTTAGATGAGTTTCTTCCCGTTACATGGATATAAAACATTCATAGTTTTATTAAATGAACATGCCCTCAGACACTGTTTCCTGCAAGATGTTGCGGCAGTGCCCCGGTACCGGGGTCTCTCGGGCTTAACAGGTTAAAGCTCTTAACCAGGTCTATAATCTATCCCTGGGTTTGTGTATGTGGGTGGGTGCATCTTACCACGGCGGGGGAGTTGACCACTGCCAGGTTGTAGCCATAAAGCATGGAGCTCCCAAAGGAGGTCAGGAATGCCACTGCCAACATAGAGCTGGTCAGCTGCTGCACAGAGAGAGACAGACAGAGAACAGAACATGTTTCACTGAAGCTCTCACAGAAAGTACAACTTCAACTTGTTTCACAGGAGAAACAGAGTTTAAACAACTAAGTCTTAAACGCAAGGGAAACAGCAAGGGACAGATTATCAACAATTTTAGAAGAAAGACACAAATAAAACAATAAAAAGGAAAGACAAGGCACAAGAAAAGCTAACTTGGCTAAAAGCTAATGACACAGCAGAAAAGCTACGCTAAGCTAAGGACAAAAAGGCTCAAGACCAGTGGCGGCTGGTCAATGCGGGGCGCCGCCCCCTCTCATAATATATATATATATAGACTGTATGTTGTCTGTTGTTAGGGAACACATCATCAAAGGCACAGGTACATTATTAACCTATGGATCAACAGTTGTAGCATTTTTTTTTTCCGTTTTAATGCCATTGAACACGTCTTTTGACCTAATTGACAGCTACGGTGAGACGATCTGCCGTAAAAGCTCCGTAAAGGTACGTGTTGTGATGTCTGTGTTTGCTTCCCCTGTCGCAAGTTCGGATCGCTCAGTGATGATACTATACCTAAATAATCTGTGGAGTCTCAGCTTTAATCGGATATATTGTATGTGCAGCTACGATAAGTAATAAGGGTATCTTTATCTTGAATTGTGTGCCAAAGTCAGTTTGCATTTTTTCGCTCAGGGGTCATTTAGATGCTTCTTATGAGACTTGTGTTTTGTTTTGGTAAAAATGGTTCATATCTTCAATTAGCTGAGATTCTTCCCGTTAATCTGGTGCTACACATTAATAGTTTCATAAATGTTAAGAAGCCCTGAGACATTGTCTCGAAAATAAAACGGTGGGAGGGGTCCAACCGCCGTGCTTAAGAGGTTAAAGAAATAGTTGTGGTGACTTTGTGACGGAGGTACTAGGTGTGGACCCAAAAGCACGGAGGCAGACACAGGATTCAAGTACAAAAGAGTCTTTACTTGAAATATAGATCCAGTACAAAAATATGGTGAATACCAGAATCATAGGATCAGCAGATCCAGAAACATTTCTGGAATTTCAAAAAGTGTCACGGTTAAACTCCTTATGAAGTGATGAGGTGCCGCTCCACATTGCTTTTCTTCCCGACTGCAATGCTGTTGTGTGTCTGTGTGAGAGCGTTTGACATGTGTGTATGAGAGATTTTTACATATGTCTGTAAATGATTTTGGTTTCAGTTCTGTGTGTGTGAGCAGGCTCGGATTGGCAATCGGGAGATTCGGGACTTTTCCCGGTGGGCCGCTGCCGTTGGTGGGCTGCTGCCGTTGGTGGGCTGCTGCCTTCGGTGGGCTGCTGGCTCTGGCATAGGTGGGCCGTGGACTTTCACAGCACCGCTGCGCCGGTACCGCATCCGCCACCGCAAACACCCGCCGTTGCGAGACTCCGGCGCAGCGGCGCTGTGAAAGTCCACCGCCGTTGCGAGTCTCCGGCTGTAACAGTCCACTACCGCCCGCGAGGACCCAGGTTCGATTCCGGCCCTACACTTTGAGAAACGTTGCCTTACTATAACTATATATGTGGACAAAGACTATAACAGTAACTTTGATACGATCTGTAAACGCTGGAGAGCTCGACATAAGACACAAGACAAGGGGAGACAGGACAATATATACGTGCAAAATGCACTTTTGTACGTCTTTTATACATGAATATGTGTCCCCGGTGTTCCAGGGAACTCACCAAGTGTCAGAAAACACAACCCTCTCTATTTTCCTCCATACCCGAAGCTCTAAAAAAGGGGCTGCAACGGATCTGATAAAAACTGATCCAGATTTGAACACGTTACTGACGTCAGGACGGTGGCGCTACGGCTATTGGGCCAACTCTCCACCTATCAGGGGAATGTGGGGTTGGGCCACGGCCGGCCATTGCCGCTCGAAAGTGCTGGAGACGCTGTAGTACATATGCCAGGCCTGTAAGTGGCGCTGTAGTCTGCCACAAAAGCAGTGAAGAAGACTTCCCGCGCATGGTTGCCATGGTTACCCTTCTGTTTATTCTCCGCTGTGGCTTTTTTTTCTCCCAAGCAAGCGTTTGCTCCTGCTGCTGTAATTCAATGCAATCCCTCCCCGTCGAGGCAAGCACTGTAATTCTCTCCGGTTAGTCCACCAGCAGATGACAAACACCCACCTCTCCGCTTCTTCCAAGGAACAAGGGGACCGTGCGGCAGAGTTTCAGTTTTTTCGGTTTTCTTTCGCCGGTCAAGATGTCCGTTAAAGTTTAAATCTTCCGGACAAAATTAGAAAAGTGCCGGTCAAAGGTCTTCTTTGTTATTTATTGAGCTTTAAAACAAATGAATAACGACTCTATATAATAATATAATAAAACACGGAGGACGGAGATCTATTTTTCTCCCCCTCTTCTGACTTGATCAGAGCACGCTCCCCTCTCCTGCAGGGGGGCGTGGTCAGCTGCAGCTCACAGAATCAGCCCCCTGCAAAAACAGGGCTGGAGAAAAGCAAATTGAGCAAAATGAGGCATGGCTAAAATGCATGATCTGTTTGGTATTTTGAAAACAGAAACGTATAAATATACCTTTATATAGGTATGGCCCTACAATATATCATTTAAATATAGCATGATAGGTCCACTTTAATAAAAAATGTTGATCACAAAAAAAAAGGGTTATTTTGCGATTTGGCGAATCTGAGTCTGCTATTGACTCGTGCATGACGACGAGTCTGCTGGATCTCTGGATCTGCTGCTATACGGTTACGGCTCTGAGTCCGCACGAGTCTGCTGTGTTGGCACAGTGAGTCAGGATTTGCGAATCTGAGTCTGTGAAGTTCCGCTGATCTCTCTCGATCATTGACCTGGTCCCGCGATTTTGATTAAGTCCTCTATGTTTCCGGCTCTAAATGAAGTTTCAGTGTAGACTTCTAACAAAATTGTCATGTTGTGCAACAGTCTCCTGCGTGTTAGATAAAGGTAGCGTAATAGCTGCATTTCCAATACGGATCAATACTTACTTGGCATTGGCAAAATGTTTATTTTGAACATAGCACACAAAAAGAAACAAACAATGACAAATGATAGAAAATTGCAAAACAGTTCGAATATATAAAATGTGTTAATTATACAATTATTATTATTAAATTAAAACACAATTGTGCAAAATTTGCTTAAAGGTGGGGTATGTAAGTTTGAGAAACCGGCTCGAGATACACTTTTTGTTATATTCCATGGAATGCTCTTAACATCCCGATAGCAATGAATATCTTAAGTGGTTCTACAAAAGATCCATAAAAAAATGTCATCTGTGGAAGCCGTAGTACTGTAAAAAGTACGACCAGGCCTGTCAGCCTTCCATCTCGTGCACGCACAAACTTATCTCGTGCCCTCATTGCGCGTGCCGTCATTGGGCGTGTTTCCCATTTACGTCACCGGGCAGCAGTACTTGATGAGTCGCCAGCAACAGGTAGTGGACACTTTCACCATGGCAGAGTTAGGTTCAACATCGTCTACCGGTCGCAAAAGAAAAACTTTTATGGAGCAAATTAAGAACAAAGCGGAAACTAGGAGAAGTCAAACCAGAGTCAATATCGGAGTTGCTTTTCAACGATGGCGACTACTGATGGAACACACCGAGCTGAAATCTGACGCCATGGTCGCCCTTTTTCTCTTGGACAGGTAATTATCTGTATTGTATGGTTTACAATTTCCCTGAACTTTATAGCCAACCTAAGTTTTAGCAGCTCATTTGTAAAACACTTTAAATTGCCAACGAGTATGAATTGTGCTATTTAAATACACTTAGCTTGCCTCGCCTCTCGCATAGACATAGAACGTTTGTTTGTTATACATAAAAAGGTAAGTGGACATGTAAGTAGCAGCTCGTCTTTATCAGTTTTGAACAGGACGTGTGGTAATGTAGGTTTTCTGTGCCTTTCTGTAGTTACGAGAAAGATGTATCAAGTTCCACACCTGTGAAACCTGGATTGCCGAGACCCCCACCCCCCGCCGTCTCCACCATTTTGTTGGAGGAACTTTCTGACCGGTAAGTGTAAAATTATGCGTATTCTAAGGGGCATCGCGTAGGTTAACTGTTTTCATTGATGGGCTGTAAATATTTGCATCTTTTTTGTGTCTAGCTCGTTTGTTTACGTACATGGCGGTGCTCCTTGGCACAGATACATTAGGAAAAAACACATGTTCACAGCTTCACATCATGGCATTGCTCATACACCTGGGGTCAACAAGTAAAACCAAGGTGTGAGCTACCAATTGTAGTATGGGAATGGGGATAGGCCATTAAGAACCATCTCAGGCAAAGGGTCAGAGAAACTAATTATCATAGAGAACAATAGAAAGTCGGCAGACCCGATTGCATTAGAAGCCTAGTTCATAGGTGTCAAAGTAAATATGGCTACATTTGGAGATGCTTGTGGTTCAGGCCTACAAAATGAACCCGAAGTATGTTCAACATGCTTTGTCACTGCTCTTTAAATAATGAGCATCAACCATGTGAAACATACATTTTGTAACTAACCAAAGACTGGAATTCTATCTATTTAGCAACAGTCCTATGTTGTGTCTTTTAGAGAATGAAGAACCATTTTATGTCCAGTAAACAGATTCAAATGCAATTCTGTAATTATTGTCAATTTTACATTTTTGCAGAGATGAACAGTTCTCAGTAGAAAGTATAGAGGAGTTGGACAACAGTGCTCAAAAAAGTGTTGACATTTATGCCAGGCTCCACAAAACATCATCAGTTTCTAAACCTCAGAGCTACTAATTATGATCTCCAACAGTTATCTCAACAAAGTAATGGCTCAACCATATGAAAGTGTGTCCTTAGTCCACTAAAGAGTCTAGTCGTTTTGCTTTTCAAATAATCTTTGGACCCACAATAGGTATGACATTGAAAAGTGTTTTTCACTGCATGAAATGCTGCCAAACTTGCAGTTTTGTCAGTCTTTGGCAGTAATGCGGGTGTTGTTGATATGCTGTAATTACTGTCATTTATGTAATTTTGATATTTATTTTAAAGGACAATCACTGCCCAAGGAATAGAGGATTGGCCCAGCACCAATATGCCACGTGCACATCCTGTCCTGTAATCAACAGCCTGGAAACCTCTGCCGACACACCACTTCTTCCTTTGTGTACATATGATGTTTATAGTTGTTATATAATGTATATATCTTGTAGATTATAATATTCCTGCAATATTGAATATTTGATGGTGTTCCAATACAATAAACAGGTTTCATAACACATTTGGTTGTCGTCATTCGTACAGGATGTAAATAAATAATAAATGTAATCGCTTCATTGTTTATGCTAAAAGGAAAAGGCATTAATAATTTTAAAGATTTTATTTAAACAAGTTTGACGAAAGTGCAGAACATAAATAGTAAATTAAAAAATATTGTATAAACAAGTAAGAAAGTGCAGAACATAAATAGTCAATTATTTTTAAGAAATATTGTGATTGCACTTATGACTGTCTGACACAGTACTGCTGTGAGCTTATACCCTACTGGGGATGAAGCCTTTGTACTGTCCATGTGGATCTGGGTACCGGTCGCGTATCTTCCAAACACAGCAACTGGGTATAATCACTCTGTGACCCTGTCCAAGGGCTCCATATTGCCACACAACAAATTGTCTGTATGCTGCATAGCGGAACTGTTTGTTGCTCTCCCCTGTGTCTTGAAGATCAGCCACTGCCCGGATATCGTTCCAGATCCGTCTTGCAAGGCGCAGGACCCCCTCCTGCAAAATATAAACTTCCATGTGTGGAAGGCTTGAAGCACAGGAGTCATGAGGTTGCAGACAGCACTTCCTTTCCACATCTGTGGACATTTCTCTGCAGTTATGGCAGAAACACCAAGTGGGTTAACCTTCAACAGGAGGGCCAGGTGGAGGCGCATCTGATGTGAAGCGGAGGAGGTCAAACATCAGACTTGGGTCCCGTGTCAGGCAGAGCTGCAGCAGTTGTTGGGATTGTTGTAAGTCCTTGAATTCTGGCCTAAAGCAAAAGATCACAAACTAATATCTTTATTGAACAGAGCTTTATTGTCCACAAAGAGGTCTTGTGTGTCCACAGAGAAGCCACTGACTAAGACAAGAGTTATTGTTGGATATTGGTGGTGTTGAGGTAAAAAAATAAATAATGTAAATATATGCTTCTATACATACTGTTGTACACCAGCTACAAACACCTGCTCCTCTGCAATCCTTTGAGCTTGCAGATCTTCAACTCTTTGAAGGTCCTCTTGACCAAGACCCGTCTTAGTCTGACCTCCCCGTCCTCTTCCTCTGCCTCTGCCTCTTCCTCGCCCCCTCGTTGCTCTCGCACGTCCTCCTCTGGTTCTACCCCGGGCCACTCTTCTTTGACCAGATGTGATGGGTTCTGGAGTGTACTCAGTGTCAGAGGAAACCATGCTCTCATCCTGGATGCTCTCATCCTGGAAGCTCTAACAAGCGAAACAAGAGATTATAATATGAGTCTAATTCTAAATCCACGTTCCTCAATGTGTCACCGATGATAACAGAAACAAACGCCAGGTAGCATTTACATTTACTCATTTAGCAGACGCTGTCTAGCGTAGCTAGGTAATTAGGTACTGTATTTCGTTCGGCGACAAACATAATAGATGAATACGCTAAATATTTCAAATAAACATTCAAAACCAACTTGGGCTGTGTAGTATTGCTAACCTTGATGTTTTTAGCTTTGCCTGATATGTAACGTTACCGCAGCCTGCTCTCGCCAGCTAGCCAGAAATAATTTACTGCATTAAACTAAATTTTTAATACATTTTCCCAAAACAAACATGCTAGCTTCAAAAATATAAACACTGACAAGAACTTTGTTCATTTTTTACATTCATTATGATAATCTTAGGTGTTTTCTTCAGTGGCGAGCCGTGACTTTTCTACCTAGGCCCTCTGGCCCTCTGGCCCTCTGGCCCTCTGGCCCTCTGGCCCTCTGGCCCTCTGCCCCCCCCCCCCCCCCCCCCGAAAAAAAAAGAAGAAGAGGTATTACGTCACAGCGTATACTTCAGCGGAATATCAGAACAACGGCCCGGGGTGCAAAACGCATCAATGACGCGACCCTCTACCACACAAAACAACACCATTTATTTAAACACCTATCATGACAGGGCACCCACAGCCAAGTAACAATTAAAAATGAATGAAGTCGGCACGGCGGCCCACATTGAAAATGACTTAGGCCTACCTTTGATGATCAAATCACTTAAACACAAAGTCCATCCTCCTGTCCTTTTGGATGAAGCACTTGATGGCGGGGTCATGCAGCTGATCCTTTGCCACTCCAATTTATCATTGTAACTCAATCTTGAAAATGACTTGGTTAATAATTTCGCAACAATGTCATCACTATCACTGAAGTGAGCCATCATGAACAAACTTATGCTAATCATAAATCTATCGATCATAAATCCAAATCTCTCGAAAATAATAAAAGTAGGGTAGACATGTGGATATTATCCGGCTGAACAAAACGTGCATTTATCTAACAGGTTCGTTTTCCACAGACCTTATTTCGAGCTATTTTCCAAAATCCTATGGAGAAATCCCAATGCTTTTGTGTCGAGGGAACCCAAGCGCAGCTTACTTCCGGGTTTTAGGACGCGTCACTGCACCACTTTATACACATGTATAAACCTCACAGCGGGCGGAACTTGTCATAAAATCCGCGAAAATAAAGCCCACCCATTTAGAGGGAAGATATGATTGGTCAATTGTACTGTCATTTGACATTACTCTCTCATTGAGTTACTATAGCTGGCCCTCTGTGAATGTACAGAGGGACCAACAAGCTCTCCCGTCTTCACAGTAACTCGCAGAGACGGCATTTAACCCTTCACATTCCAACAGAAACTGAACAGGCAGATTCAAAGGATTTATTTCTTTGGAAATGTTATTTTAAATACAATTAAATCAAGTTATTTTGGTAAAACTAATGAAAAATGTAACAAAAAAATTATATTTAAATATATTTATATTTTTTTAATGTTTTCAAATATAATTTTTTAGAATATCTTAGTAAGGAAGTCTGAAGGAAGGGGCGGATTCTTTTCGGTTGTGTACTTTCAAATTTTAGTGCACTCGAGCCGGTTTCTCAAACTTACATACCCCACCTTTAAGTACAGGAACATATTAAAATATACATATAATGCAAAACACTTATTTTATCATGACCGAAAGAACGAGATCGCGGATACAAGCGGCTGAGATGGGTTTTCTCCGCAGGGTGGCTGGCGTCTCCCTTAGGGATAGGGTGAGAAGTTCAGTCATCCGGGAGGGACTCGGAGTTGAACCGCTCCTCCTTCGCGTCGAAAGGAGCCAGTTGAGGTGGTTCGGGCACCTAGTAAGGATGCCACCTGGGCGCCTCCCTAGGGAGGTGTTCCAGGCACGTCCAGCTGGGAAGAGACCAAGGGGTAGACCTAGGACCAGGTGGAGGGATTATATCTCTTCGCTGGCACTTTGGAATGGCTGAGCCTGTTCCTCCTGTCTGTGATAATTTGCCCAGTTTTAGAGAAAACACGCTCTGAGGGTACAGATGTGGCCACAATGCAGAGCCTGGTCTTCATGATTGTGCATACATTCTGATACACAAGGGCTCGAACTCTCCACCATTCCAGGGGGTCAGCCTTTCGGGGGATAAGTGGCTCTGCCAAGAATCCCTTGATCTCCAGCATGGCCTCAGTGATCGAGTTCTGGATCCCTGGCCTCACAGTGGTCACTCGCTCCTCAAAGTCAGCCCAGAATTGAGCCACTGGCTCACTTGGAGGACTCACAGGTGTGCCACCCTCCTCCTCCTCCTCTGTGCTGGGTAATGTTGGTGTTGCCGCATGCGTTGCTGCTCCCACCACTCTTGACACAGTTTCCTCTGCGTTCCTTTCATTGACAAAGGCATGCTTTTTGAAGCGAGGGTCCAAAAGTGTCGTTTCAGCAAGCACTCTGACCCTTTCAACTTGCCCAAATATTTTCTCCAAATCCGCTGCAAGGAAATTAACCATCCCTTTGACAGGTTCGTAGATGGAGGGGTTTCTCTGCCTGTGGGCAACAATTCTCTGGAGCCCCCGTGCCATCAGAATGGCTTTTGAGCCTGTCACAAAGCTCTGAAAAAATAAATAATGATTAAAATTGTGTTTCTTGTTTAATGCAGTTGCAGCCTTCTTTACTAATGACCATCAGGCCTTATATTAATGACCATCAACACAGCATATAATGCATGAAAAATGTAATTCATATAATTGCACTATTTTTACATACCTCTCTGAGCTCATCTCCACAGTCACCTCTTCAAAGGGCTTAAGAATATCACACACCTCCTTTGTGATATCCCATTCCTCAGGAGTTAAGGCTGGTAGCAGTGGATTGATCAGTGCCAGTGTGGAGACAAGGGGTTCCTTGATTTGGATGACGCGCTGCAGCATGTAGTATGTTGAATTCCACCATGTGGCTATATCTTGCTTCATTCGCAACTGGACCTGCCCCATTTGTTGTCGCATTTCACAAAGCTTTGCAGAGGCCACTGTGCTTCTGCGCACATACTCTGCGATAGATTTCACTTTTAGAATTAAGGCCTGGATTTCAGATTGGTGAACTGAATATCTGACCCTCAGATCCAGCAAGTGAGCAAAGCATCTTACGTGGTTCCGCTTAAAAATGTCATTCACAGCCTTGACAATGTTGCTTGCATTGTCAGTGACACAGGCTGCAATTTTGTCTTGAATGCCCCACTCTTTTGCAACCTGGCTCAACTCTTGCGCCAGATTTTGGGATGTGTGCTGCTCTGTGACAACAAAACAGTCCAGAAAATTTGATCTAAGTTTAAAGTCAGTGATATAGTGGCATGTCACTGACATGTAGCTTGTTGTTGTATTGGAGGTCCAGCAGTCTGTTGTTAAACATACAGCAGGAGCAGTCTTAATCTGCTCTTCAATGTCAGCTCTGACCTTTTCAAAAAGGTTAGGCAGCATCTGCTTTGATAGAGTGCCTCTGCTTGGCAGCACATACGATGGGTCCAGTGCCTCTGTGTATGCTCTGAACCCCCTGTCTTCAACAATCGAGAATGGTTGAAAATCAGTGGCTATCATTTTAACCAAAGCCTGGTCCACTTTAGGTTTGCAAGTTTGCAGTTCAAATATTCTGCTGCTTTTCCAAGCCTTTTTACTTTCTTTTCTTCTCTCATCACGCATTCAAGCCCCCAGTGTTCATGTATCATTTCAATCTAAATTCTTCACTTTCTTCTTACACATTACATTTCAGCATAGCAGTTTAGCGTCAGCTTTTCAGCATAAAGCATTCCCACTAGCAATTTCTTCAGGAATTGCATTCTCTAGTTTATAACGTTTACTTTAATTATGCATTAACAGTTTTTATGTGGCTCCAAACAACGCTCCTCTCTCTCTCAGCCATCGTGTGTGTGTGTGTGTGTGTGTGTGTGTGTGTGTGTGTGTGTGTGTGTGTGTGTGTGTGTGTGTGTGTGTGTGTGTGTGTGTGTGTGTGTGTGTGTGTGTGTGTGTGTGTGTGTGTGTGTGTGTGTGTGTGTGTGTGTGTGTGTGTGTGTGTGTGTGTGTGTTGCTGGCTGCTGCTGTCCTGCCCTGCTGGCTGCTGTCAGTCAGTGCAGCCTGATAATCGGCGTTCAGGCTGGGTGCGCGTGCGCGAGCCTCGAGGAGAGGAGGACAGCAGTGGAGAGAGAAGAAAAGAGCGCATATACAGATGTAGCACTCCAGATAGGACTCCACCCAGCGGATTCCAACCAAAAACCCAGCGGATCCCAGTGGCTGGGAGATTAAAGCCCTCCCACTATTTCCTAAGAGGGCGTTGCCAAATTTCCCCATTTGTTCAATTTCAGGATTTAACCATGAGATGGCGCTTCATTCACAAATACACAAAAACAACTGGGTGTTGTAGACCTTAGTTTGTTTGCAATGTTTGCAGCTCTGCAGTTGTGTTTGCTGAATACTGTAGCATTTAATCACTTATTTATTATGGTTTTCACAGGCTAGCTGCTATAACGAAAAAACATCAATATTTTAGATCAAATAAAGTATATCTATTCTTATTATCTTAATTGTAATTCAATAATATATAGTCTTTATATATTAAATAATCATAATAATAATGTAAATGTTTACACTTCTTTATTTTTTATGCTCATACTTTTACCTTTACAATAGTTTGCCTTAATATGCAGTATATTTTTTGTAATATTGTTGTGGTGTACACAGTACAGTAGATCGAAGTAAATCAACTGTGTTGTATTGTATTATTAAGTAATATCATACATTAACCCCATTATAGCAGATGCCACATTGAATTGATGAACACATTGCATCAATAATTACAACGGAGTATTTCTAAATATAAGTTGTACAAATACTTATATGTATTTAATACTAATAACATAATGATTCATTTGACTTTCAGATGATAATACTTTTCACTTGGGCAATTGACAATTTTGAATGCAGGACATTTACTTCTAACACGTATTTTTACCTAGGTAAATAATCGGAATACTTCTTCCACCTCTAATTTTAACCTGTCACTGTTTTTAAAACTTTAATTAAATGTTTGATATTTCCAGAGACCCTTTCAGACCGGCAATGCTGCCCTGCATGTAATTCCAATTGCCCATCGGAATGTGACAAAAGTCTCCCATGGGAGACTTTTGTCACATTCCGATGGGCAATTATTTGAAACAAAGAGAGTCCGCAACATACTATCTCTTGTTAACAGAGGGGGGATGGTAGAGCTTTGTCACACCGATGATGGCCGACAGATCCTTTCAGGGTTAATGAATAGTGGATAGGAGAATTCAAAAGGATGTAGGAGAAGAGACTGCAGTGCTTTGAGAATCCGACTGCACTTACCAGGGTTCCCGCGGGGTCTTAAAAAGTTTTACATTTGATAATCTGAATTTAAGGCCTTAAAAAGGTCTTAAATATGACCAAAAAAATAAGAAAGGTCTTAAATATGATTTAGAAGGTCTTGAAAATGATCGGAATTGAAAGGTACTTCTGTGTTGCGAATGCGATAGCATCTAAATGTGTTTTGGGGGAAATGTCCGGGCTGCAAAGTAACCAGTACAGTAATAGCCTTTCAGTTCCCCCCAACAATTTGTATTGAAATAAATCAACATGGAACTATCTCAAATCACTAACTTTGTTTCCCCCGGCCCCTTATCGGAGAACACCCAGCTAGTAACCTAGCAACCAAGCTTCAGCTAGCGGCAGTCAGAAACTCATGTATCTTCGAATCTACTTACAACTAAATATGGGGAAGTGTAAGTTCAACCGTATTTGGTTGGAAAACATCAAATTCAGTGCTTGGTTGAAACCAGTGGAGGGGAACGTGTTTGAAGCCCGCTGCACCCTTTGCTAAATAAATTAGCGTTTGTTTTGCTAATGTAGCGTTAGCTAGTGCAGCGTTAGCTAGTGCAGCAGCTCCCGCAAGGTCAGTGTATGTTTTGGTCATTGGATTTTCTTTTCACAAATGGATATTCTGGACGACTAGATATTTGATTTTCGTTTTAAAATTGAAAAACCAAAATTGAAATACAAGGCGTTTTTCTTTATCATGGTCGAAAAGGGATTTACTAAACTTAAAAAACGGGATGATTTTCATTTTCTACTTCTCAAAACAAAAGATAAAATCACTAGAAAACAGAAACAAAAAAACGACAGTTTTTTCATATTCTGCGACTGGAAGTTACCTTACAAAAATAAGAGCGCAGATGAGGTCAGAATCCGTCCATTTGTTTTTCATTATTAAACAAGTAAACGGAAGAGCGTCTGCGAGGCGTTTTTGCTTTTTACCTTACTAAATGGTCAAATGGTCCTTGGAGCGAGGGGCGGGGCGAAACTCACGGAAGTGATTTCAAAACAAAAGCACTCGTTTGCTTGGAACGGTGATAATATTATAAACAAGGGGAATTTAGCGATCACAACGAAAACGGCCAAGACACACTTTGAGCCCAGAAAATTGATGTTATTAAGGGCTGTAAATATAATAAGCCTATGTCTAAAATGGACAACATTGTTAGGAGATGTAAACTATACAGCGATTCTGCACTGCGGTCACTCAGCCGCCTCTCGAGTTTGTTTTTTCAAATCAGCTGCTCTTCATTTTTCCTGCTATATTTGACGAGTGATACACATATTTTTTAACACAAGTTCTTAAGAAAACTGACACTGTTGGACTTGGTACTAGTTTGACTTCTACCAGAAATAAAATGAAGTACTTTTACTGTGTATTTTGTGAGTAATCCTCTGTCAAAGTCCCCTCCATAGAGGCTCCATAATACATGTTTTTCTGCTATCTTTGATGAATGCTAGAAATACAATTTTACCATTAGTTCTTAATGAAATTGATACTGTTTGACTTTGTATTAGTTAGCCTACTACTAACAATACATTGAAGTACTTTTACTTTGTATTTTTTGAGAAATACTCTGTCAAAGTCCCCTGCTGAGAACAAAATCAAGCCACTTCTGCTAAGTTTGATGAGGGAATTCCTTTTTGTTGACATTAGTTATTCGTGAGATTGATCCTGTTGGACTCAGTACTAGTGAAACTACCCCCACAAGTACTATGAAGTACTTACTGTGTAGTTTTCCAGTAATCCTCTGTCAATGTCCCCTCCTGAGAACAAGAATGCATGTTTCTCTGCTATTTTAAATAAGCGTTAAAATACCTTTCTTCATGAGACTTATATTGTTGGACAGAGTATTTTAAGAGGATATGGTAGACATGATATCAGCAATACTTCCAGTCAGTACTCCAGCAGCAGCATTTTTACCCCTTTGAAAGTCTTTATAGTCTGGCCTGGATAGTCACAAATATCCTTCAGCAAAGTGACACACTGTCACTCTTGTTGGCCTCTTATGATGCTGCTGTCTTTTAATATATGATTATTTCTCAGCCGCTAGTTCGTTCCTTGCCGATTCTTCAGCCTCATCAGCCTAATCCTTCCATCAGTCCCAGTCAACGCATCAGCATCCAGCACACTTCCAGTGTCTGACTCCATATGATAGTGTCCTGATGCTGTAAGGGTGATGCCCAAGCCCCCAGGAAGTGCACCGGACTCTGAGGAAAATATTCGTTGTGGCCAAACGGCGGTACTACACTTCCGTATCAGTCGCTGGGCCCGACAATACTTTTTCCCATTGACTAACATTGGGAAAGAGACGTCTGTAAATCGTTGGATATTTTTTTTTAAACTATATATAATAAATTACCCAGTATAGCCCTTATTAAAAACATTCGGTCCTCAAGTTGTAAAATGTGATAATAACGTTATTCTGATTGTTATTTTCCTCTGCATTATGAACGCGGATCTAACCCAGGGGACCGCGCCGCCCGGCACGTTCATGTGACGTGTTCAGTTCAATTCAGAGTTTTACCTTTACCCATTGATGCACAATAAGAACGGATGATATGATTATATGAATACTTTTGTGACGTTTTGCTCTCTGAAAAGTTGGGCCATTTTGTCTTCATGCGCCAATGAGCAACTCTCATAGGAATGAACGAGGCCCCGCCTCCCACGCTGTATCCAGTTCTTATTATACATCCATGGTGATGCCCCATGATCACAAAATGACCCCTCTAGAGTGCCAAGGACCTCATATTATGTATGTCATTCATGTTACATCACCAATTATAACAATTTTCTTTCCTTTTTTCTCTTCTCTTAACTGAATAGTCCTGTCTTTAAGTATAATACAATGTAAAGTCCTTTTCCTGCACCATTTGAAGGCTTCAAAACAGGCATTTTTACTGTATG